CACACAACAATTTATGCTGGCACCACTGCTGGACTTAAGGCAGGTCTTCCTGGAGGTTATTCCAAATAGCAGGAGTAAATAATTGAGAGCCATGAGAAATACACTATGATGTTTAAAAGTATTCTGGCATTTTTATTTTGCAAGCTTTCAAAAGGATTACTTTCTCTTTGAAAATTTCCATTGTTCTGGGTTTCTTTCCCAAGATCCTTCCTGATCTTGGGAGTCACTCCCAAGGAATAAACATACCTGTCAGAGCATTTGCCTGAGGGATGGGGCTAAAGCTTTGGCTGCCTCTAATTAAATATCTCTAATTGTATAACCTAATATTTTTATGCTGGGCATGTGAATTTAGAAATATGATCAAAACCTTTGCATCCCTTTGCCCTGAAGCTAGGTTTTCAGGCTAGTGCCTGTATCAGACTGGTGGATGGAGGAGTTCAGCCTTGGGGCAGAGCTGCCATTCATCAGTCATTCTGCACAAGTCATGCTGGACAGTGCTCATAGCCAAGCTTGGGAAACTGCATGTGGCACTGCTGTTGTGGACTGCTGTACATGGGCACAGTGCTGGTGGGAGCTAAGGCAGAAGTAAGAAGTGCTTAAAAGGTGGGATATCAGAATTTCACAGTTAGGGTCTACTCTCCTCTCTGGGTGCCCCTCCTACATATCCCTGTCCCCTTTCATGATCTTGAGTTTTTCCTGCCCTTCCCTTCCCCAGCAGCTCTCTGTATTGTCCTCTGCTGTCTTTGTGATCTCTTGCCAGCATGAAAGGAAAAGATTACAACCTGTGGCTTCAATTCTCTGTCCATTTTCAGTCTTCAGCTGTGAAGAAAAACAAAGCCCACAGTTCATGGCACCTCACACAGCTTCTCCTGCCTGCAAAAGCCCAGATAAGATTTCTGCCCTTTGAGGCCCTGCTTTTAGCTCATTAACACTGTCTGCTGCGTCTTCTCCCATGCTTTGTGTGCTGCTTGTACAGTCTGTGGGATGGTTCAGCCCCACGGAATGTGCTTTTTTAGCCTTGGTCTTTGACTTCTGCCTGGCTGCAGGACTCAGACTCATTGGTGGGGGATGTGGTTCCTCTCAGAAGGATGTATTTTCTGTCATCTCCTCAGTATCAAGCTGTTGTTTGCTCTCTGTGGCTCTCTGTCTTCAGATGATGGAACACGTTTTTAGCATTTCATAGTGGGTTCATTTGGAGATCTTCCAATACTTTCCTGAGCTGCCTTTTCATTACAGTCTGTGGTGGTGGTCCTGTCCTTTTGCAGGCACCCAGCCACCAGTTTCAATGTGTTTGATGTGCAGCATCAGAGCAGCAACTTGCTCTCCCACAGTTTTACCTTCCTTTGCAAACACTGAGCAGTTAAAAACATGTTTGTTTCATGTTTTCTATCGAGAACAGCACTCCCTGCATTTCACTGCTCTTGTCTCTCGATTTGGCGCTTCCTGCAGGCCTGGCTGTATTTTGGGAGTAGTACCAACCAGCTATGAGCAAGGACAATGTCACTGCACCCCATATGGACTCTCTAATGGGTACAGGTTTCTAACACGTGCTCCTGGCTCCCTCTCTGCCACCCTACTGCATCTATGGAGACTCTGCATCAGGGCATCATGTCACAGCCATGTTCTCATCTTAAGTCATTCCCTTTCAGCCCTCTGGAAGGCTTCAGACTTTTCTGTTGGAATAACAAAGCACAATAGTTTCAATTTGTTTAGGTACATCAGTCCAGTTCAACTGTTCATTATCTCATCGTGTACATAAACCACCCACTTTTACATGCCAGACAGCTCTGTCAAAGCATCTACACCAGTACCTTAATGGCCAGGTGAGGGCCAGGTGTACCATTTGGTGTTATGGCCTTAGGCAAAGAAGTAGCTAATGGCTTCAGGCAGACAATTAGATGCCATGCTGGAAGAGAGCATCTGAAATTGAACTTTTGAACTCAGGAGCTGCAATAAACATAGACTGGTTGTAAATTCTGGTTAATGCCTGGGCTAAGCAAAAGTGTCACATCCTGATATGTCCAGTTAATAAAGAGACATGAGACAGATTCAGCAGCTGGGAAGTTGGACTTCTGCAGATAGACCACAAACCAAGGGCCTGGGCTCTGGAGAGGTGTCCTGAAAGGCTGTGCCCTTGGACAGAAGAAGGGTGCCTGGAAGGAGGATGGTGTGGATCCTGGAAGAGGGGGCAGATGCTGGAGATCAGGGACACAAATGCCAGGGGATGCCCCAGCAGCACAGTTGGTTTTGTGGTCAGCAACAGCTGGTAACAGTTAGCCACAGTGAGGCAGGCACAGGACCATCCACCCCATCTCCCATAGGGAAGGGCGGTCAGTGCCTGGGGAGCATGTGTGCGGGCAGCATGGGTACGGGTGGGCAGCAGGCACGTATTCCACTGGTTGGATGGGTCAGTCCAGCTGGCGAGCCTCATCTAGCCTGTGGGTGGAAAGCACATATGGCTGCCAGCTGCTGGTGGTCTGTAGTGCCAGCAGGGCCCCAGTGGGGATTTGGTGTGCTTGCAAGCCTCCAGCAAATCCCAGCATCCAGACTGGCAGCAGGCTGGCATTTCGCTTACTCCCAGCCCTGGCAGTCACCAAGTCTGTCCTGCAAGGCTGTTGCAGCTGGTCAGTGGGCTTCTGCTGCTTCATGCTGCCCCAGCACTTACAGAAGTGTCACAAGTTCTCCTTTTGTCATTTTTGGTGTTGTTTTTTGTTACCATTTTCCTGCCTTTAGAAGTAAATTTTAAAATATGAAAAGAAATTTTTGTACGTTGAAAAGATTCTTGGAGCTAAGACTGAGAGCGTTTGTCAGAAAAAGGGTCAGGAATTCACAACTACCCCAAAGCAAGCATTTGGCAATGCTAAGAAAGTAAACATTTAAGATTAGATGCTAAATCTAAACACAGCGAATCACGCAAATGCATGCAGCTTCTAAGCAGTTTCAACTCTTGCCTGTAACGTCGCCAAAAGGAAGAAAAAAATACTTTCAAAACTCACCTTATTTGTCACGAGGGATGACAAATCCCAACAGTAATTGCAGTGCTACAGACCTTGGATGGTGACTACAGGCAGATTTAGTGCAGTTTGAACACAGAAATACAGATGGAATCAGCCTAGAGATACCTATACCAATGTGACAAGGAGGGGTGCATTCAGGCAGTGGTGGTTCCTGAGCTTTAAGGCTGTGCGAAGGTATCTGTAAGCACATAGCCAGTGTCATACGAATTAGGACTAGCTGTCTGCTCTTGTGTGTCAATAAATGTGCACAACTGCTGAGCCTTTTAGTTGCATATAGTAAATCCCGTTAAAGTCCTCATTAGGCTTATTAGGCTTAAAATCATGCGGGAGCACGTAGACAAAAGAGTCCTTCCTTTCCTGGGTCTAAAGTTTGCAACCATTACCATTTCTAGTAAGAAAAAATATCATATGTTCATCATATTGATATTTAGCGGCTTCATGAGTGCTTTGAGGTGGGTCACTAAGAGGTACAGAGACTTAATACTGGGGCAGTGCCATTAGGTGCACTTAAAAACCGGCTTGTACTAGAGGTGTTCTTTTGTCTAGCAACAACCTGAAGTTCACAGGCATGAAATATTACTGGCAAAATTAGCAGCTGTAAATTTTGGCAGCAAAAGCTGCTGGTGGATAAAGAGTGAAAGGTACACTGGCCATCTTCAGTGCTTCTGCAGCATGGAATTGGGTCCCACTGCAAGATCTGTTACTGACTTGAGACACACATACATCTATTTAATAGTTTGATTGTACCTGGAACAGCTGGAAAGAACATAAAAACCTTGGCAAATTGGTAGCTCAGGGTTTTTTTTTCCCACCCCGTGTTTTATAACAGTGAATTGTGATGAAGCTAGCAGCAGCTTCTAGAAGTCAGACCATGTGCCCTGTAATGCAGAGCTTTCTGGTAAGGAGAGGATCATGTACCCACTGGCACCTCCTCAGGGGATGTATAGCAGCTCTTCTTGCTCTCACAGCATCAAGAGGAGCTCAACTGAGCACTGGACGTGCTACCCACCTTGGCCCAAGTTCTGCAGCCAAGCTTTTTACTTTTCCCAGGCAGAGCAGAGCTTACAGAGCAAGGTGAAACACACAGAGAAACTGTCATTCAAACACAGAGGTTCAGTTAAAAAGTAAAATATTGATTAAAACAAGGGGGCTGGGGATTTGACAGCTGTAAAGGTTTCCTGTGACATTCATACCCGTACAGTTTCAGGCCTTTTTGCTGGGGTAACAAAGCTGTCTAACTGAACACAGGTAAGTCACAGCCCTACCTACGTCTTCGGCTGCCCTACATTTGTGAGGTTAGGAACCAGCTACATGCTAGGTCTTCATTTTTCCTACTTTCATTTTAAAACCCTAGATACAAATTTTATGGGAAATGCCACATCTAAAACAACCGAAGTGTCAATTGGATGCAGTATAAAATAATTCAGATAGCATAATCCTGTTTTAAATACAACATAAAAGCCCCCACTGTTAACTTTCAAAGGTGTAAATGAAATGTTGAAATGACACACTTAACTGAGCATATTGATTCTGCACAACCTCTGAAATAGAAAATATCTTGTTACTGATTAACAGAAATGGGAATCCTTTTCTGTCTGTTTCCCTCTCAGGGATCCTGACGACCCCCAAAAATAGAATATTCATCTGGTTTTGAGAACAAGCATCACAAACTGTTATATTAATGTAGTAAATCTTCCTAGCAATGTGTTATCAATTTTCAGGTGTTAATCAATGAGATTGATATCACAGTAAAATGATGAGAAACATCAATGCATTATTAAAAAGCACACTGAAGCACTGATTCATGATTTTGTACCTTCTGTTTAGAAGCCTGAGACATCAACAGATTTTTCAGTGTCCTCATGCAGCACGCTCTTCTCCCCTGGCATTAGTGTATGAGCTAGTGTTTGATAAGGATTCAACATAACTTAATTCTTGTTTGCTGGATGTCAATTTTGTTTTGCTGTATGTTTGAATTAACAGGTGTGTATGTAATATAGACTGCAGTGGATACAGTTTTAATCCTGTATGTGCTTCTGATGGAAGTTCCTATAACAATCCATGCTTTGTTAGAGAAGCATCGTGTCTGAGGCAAGAGCAGATCGACATCAGGCATCTTGGACACTGTTCAGGTATGCTTAATTTTGGTTTTATGGTCAATGTAAGTTGCGACATAAGTGAGCTTGGTACAGCTCTCCTGTTCCCATTTTTGATCAGAAGTCACTGATCCAGTTATCAGCGAACTCCTGCCTGTATTTTAGAGTTTCTGACACAGAGGTATGTTTGCACTACATATATACGTGCTGTGTTTACATTACCTTTCTTTGGCTGCTGTTACCTGGAAAGACAAGGAAAGCTCTTACGAGGATCTAAGTGATAGTCCAATGTGTCTTACATGAGGGGGTGGTAAGAAGTATGAGAGCAAAAGGAATACCAGTGGAAGGGAAATGTTCCGTCTTGCTGCTGTGGGCTTTACAATGTGCTTCCAAGGTAAGTCAAGTTGGCCCTGATTGCACAAATACCCCTTTCTTTTTCCCATGTTGGAATGATCCACTGACTCCCTCTGGTCTACTGCCTTATAGTTAGTCATGTGCATGACTCTTCAGTTCTGGGATGTTGCAGTTAGGACTTTCTCATGGGAATAACAGCTTTCCACCATCTCTTTGCCAGTTACATCTAGATCTGTAGCTTGGACAATTCCAAAACCAAAAGCAGACTGTCACCAAAATAACCTAGGCCTATACCACAGAAAAGCTGTAGTTCAAAGCCTACAGCTTAAGGTGTGCCAAGTCTTGGTCTGGACAGTGGGTTACTGACCTGGTGCGCAGGTTTTATGGGAGGAACAATGTGGGAATGTGTCCAGTTTTGCTGCAATTTAAATAATTCTTTGACTGCTATTCTGGCTTCTCAATGTAGTGGTCTGGAAATAAGCCTTTCCTAATAGCTATCAATGCATGTATTTATCTAGAAACAGATGACACGAACGCTGCTGGAAAGAAAGAGGATGGCATGCAGTATCGGCCAGAGGTGAAAGGTACTGTGCTAACTGTGTTGTTTGATTACAGTTTCACAAGACTGGAAAACAGCACACAGGTCCCTTCTTGTCTGCCTTACAGCTTTGATTTCTGTAACCGAGACAGAGCTGTTAACAGCTTCTTTCTTACAGCGGGTTGCAAGGCTGGAAAGAAGATGTGCAGGATTTTTTGTGAGTTTTGCCTGCTGTATTCATCTAAGATGCTCAGCTGCTCAGCATCCTATGCAGTGGTCCTAGGCTTAGACTCCCCACAAGTGCTGTGAAAATTATTGGAAGACACCAAGCTGACATTCCTGATGCAATGACATAAGCCTCCCTCCTGTGACCCCATCTTTTGTGTTAACTTCTGGGGAAAAAAAAAAGCAGATTCTGTATTTGTTAGGTTATTTCAAAATATTTTTCAGTAAACTAATATGCTGACTGACACTGCTTAAAAATGTTTTACCTGTATGAACCTTACCTTACCTTTAATAACCTTAGTATAAATGAAATAGGGCAGAGTTTCACTTTCTACTCTGTTATTTTACCTGGTAGTAGCCCATGTGTTAGGTACATTCTCAGAACAAAAATATATGCTTCTGCATGTCATGACTCTTGCTCAAAGTATGGTTGTCCAGGAAAAAAATGCCTCTGTCTTTTTCAAGTTACTGACAAAAGGCAGATCTGCATAGGTCTTAACCTTTTCTCCCCTTTTCTCACAAATAATGGCACTGTTAGAACAGAATAGAATAGAATTATTTCAGTTAGAAGGGACTACAGAAATCATCTAATCAGCCTGACAAATTCAGGACTGACCAAGCTAAAGCATGCTGTTAAGGGCATCATCCAAATGCCTCTTAACTTAAAGCACTGGCAGGCCTGGAACATCAACTACCACTTTAGGACTCTTGTTCCAGTGTTTGAGCACCCTCTCTGTGAAGGAATGCTTCCTAAAGTCCAGTCTAAAGCTCGCCAGCACAGCTTTGAACCATTCCCACATATTCTGTCCCTGGATACCAGTGAGAAGAGACCAGCACCTCCCTTTCCACTTCCCCTCCTCAGGAAGCTGTAGAGAGCAATGGGGTTGCCCCTCAGCCTACTTTTCTCCAAACCAGACAAGCCCAGAGTCCTTAACCAATCCTCATAGCACATTCCTTCCAACCCTTTCAGTCCACAGACACCCACTACAACATCTCCTTGGTTTTGGTCCCCCCACCCCTCACCCAGGGGCTCTCAACCACATCAACACTAACTGTAAGGGCTGCACAGTCAAACCTTTTCCTTACATACAGCGTGACACCTCCACCTCACCTGCCTTGCCTATCCCTCCTGAACAGCATGTAGCCTTCCTCCATCCCAGCACTCAGTCATGGGATTCCTTCCACCAAGACTCACTGACACCAATTACGTCAGTTCTGGGAACTAATCAGCACTTCCAGTTTATCCTGCTTGTTTCTCATATTACGAGTGTTGGTGTACAATCATTTCAGGTATGTTCCTGAGACCTCTGTGCACCCAGGAGCAGTACAAATATTCCCAGTAGTATTGCCGCCCTAGGCGATGTCATGCCAACCCTTGGCTTATCTACTGCAATGCTGCTGTTATTCCCTTTCCCCTCTGATTCTAATTTAAAGCTCTCTCAATCAGTTCCTCCAGCGTATGCCCAAAGTTGCATTTTCCTCTTCAGGGCAGGTGGATCCTATCAGGAGCTTGTGTCTCAAAGGCTCTGTCATGGTCTAAAAACCCAAAGTTCTGGTGCAAGAACCAGTCCTGGAGCCAGGTATTGCTATCCTGGGCTCACCTGTTTCTTCCAAAGTCTCCCCTCATTGTTGGGAGGATTAAGGAAAACGCTGCCTCTGCTCCTAAATATTTCAGCATTCTTCCCAGGGCTCTGAAATGTCTTTTGATTGACCTCAGACTTTTTACTGCTACATCATCAGTACCCATGTGAAAGAGCACAAATGGATAATAGTCTGAAGCTTGTACTAAGCTCTTTAATCTTGTGATGACTTCCCTAATTTGGGCCCCTGAAAAGAGGGTCCAATCTTCAAATGGGATGCTTCCATTCTGCACAGGAAGGAATCACTGATGCTGATAGCTTGTTGTTTCTCCTCAGTGCCAGTCTTAATACATGCTTTGTTGTGAGGGGTGAGTATCCTCTCTGTTAGCTCTGGTCTTTATTTTTTACTGTCATTATGCTTGTTTTGCCTTCTCATGGCATCTCAGAGTAAAGCCATCCTACCATGACATTCGACATTCCTTTCACTCTTCTTGAAAAGCCATTCATTTCCAAAAAGCTCCGTATATTTTTCTTTTTTCACAAAGTCTCTTATTTTCATTCCATATGATGTACCATTTGGAATGGTTTAATGTCAATTTTCACTTACATTTTGAAGGCATAAAAGGCACCAAATGCAGTATACATCTTATTATGTGATGTAATGAAACACCACTTTTGGTTCCTATTCAGAAGAAGTTACAGCCTTTTATTCATTGCGTATAAATCGCTCTTGAAATCTAGTTAGTGGAAAAAACTTTGTATATAATTATTATTATTAATGTGTACAGCTTGTGCAGTCTCAATTTTGTCAAATGATGTGCACAGAGGGAATATGCCTTGTGCAGAAATAGTGTTTTGAAATTTTTCAATGCAGCAGTCGTGTCTCTCGAGATAGTGAAAGCTGGCTTTGAATTACTTTTTCTTCCAGTACAAGAGAATAGTCCACACTTCTGTTTGCTTTTGCTTTAAATTCCTTTGGGTTACTCTTGTTAAAGCCTGTTCTTTGAATGCTTAACACCTCCTAGTCTCTAGAACCGCAGCCGTGGCAGTCTCCCCCTCCCGCAGTGCAAGCGGCTTACTAAAGTTACATCAGTAAAGTCTCTTTTCCTAGATTCAGCTGGCTTGCTGGTTTCGTAGTACCAACACGAGAATCAGGGTTTCAGGTGTTGTGCATGCCTCTTCCTTCTTCTGGTGAAGGATCTGAACTAATATATCTGGTCACTCTTTCATGGCTCCTATACCAGTTAAACCTTTCACTTTGAAGCTATGAAGCAGTCTTGTAGGCCTCTCAGACTAAAAAAGGATTCCCATCAATAGGTGGGTAAATGTCTGTTTTACACTAGGAATCACCTCCTACATTTAACAAGTTTTGCCTCTGACTTGGGTGGCCATGGCCATCCCACCTTTTAGGGGTCGCATCTTTCACTGGGCCTCCCATTCTGCATTAGTGCGTGCATTAAAACGTGCATGGCACAGCTATATGAACAGAGTAAGGCCAAGTTGGACAGAGCCTTGGGTAACATGATCTAGTGTGAGGCACCCGTGCCCATGGTAGGGCTTTCCAACTCTAACTGTTCTATGATCTATAATTGTACGCAGCTTGTTATTAGCCTTGGATCGGGACCAATTACAATGACAGTAATTACTGCTTGGAGGAGGGAGGCAACAGTTTTGGGATGAGACATCCCCACTTTTCTCCTCTTAGACATGCCACAACATAGTCTATTGCATCAGGGCAATGGTGGACATCTTGTCAATGTCAGGCAATGTTCTTCCCTTTTATCAAGTCTTCCGTATCTTTGAAGCACAGCCTGAACCAACAGACTTCCTTATGTCTAAAACCTCTAATAGATTTTCTTTTTCTCCTAGAAAAAATTAGAAAGCATTTCAGAAGATGTTCAGTGCAGACCTAAACCAGCAGCTCTTTCTTGCTAGTGTTATTTCAAGTATCTGCAATTGTATAAGATTTCTTCTTCAAAGTCCCTTTTTGCTTGGCACCTGCAGTTCATTATAATCTTGTACTTGTGATGCTATAGTCTATTGCTATGGAAATGAACATATTCCACAATTACACTCACATCTTTAGATCCCTGCTCTATAGAGAATTCTTTATGAATTACCAAGTGTTTAGGACTTTTTTATAGAAAAATTTTGGGGAAAGAATGGTTGAAAATATATGCAGCTTTAGATAGTTTTAGTAACAACACAGAAGCATGAAAGATGTTGGCACAGAAGGGACTGCCTTCCTGTGCTGAGCTGTGCTGAGTTCCCTCTCCATAAAACCATTTCTCTGAGGAAGACCGGTGTTGTAGTGTGTTTTATTTCAGCTATAGTGACCAGTGGTACCAGTCAGATCTAGGCTTTATGGAGTTGTTTTCTGCCCAGTAATAATAAAATGTGGTTCAGATTCTTTCTAACCCTTCAGGATTTCTTTCCTCTGTTTAGGGATGGGAGATTGCTCTCTGTATTAGCTCTTTGTCCCAATGCCACTGACAAAGCTTCTGCTGATCTTCCTCCATTGGCTTGATTCTGTCATGAATACTTTTCTCCTTTCAAGAAACCTGACATAAGAAGCATATTTAGATGTCTCTGAGGATCATTTTTCAGTGCAGTACATTCTAGCAAATCTCTAGGTGCCTCTGAAACTTCACCCTTAAGCTTTTGCTTTATTATTCTGTGTTCCTCTATTTGGTGCAAGTTTTTAAGGTTATGCTTTTCTTGGTTGAGATTTTTTAATGAATATCATACAGACATTTATAATCATTTATGTATATTTCTTTTCAAGATGCCAGCGATCAAAGAGAAGACATTTACATTGGAAACCACATACCTTGTTCAGAAAGCTTCAATGGCTACTGTATACATGGAAAATGTGAATTCATTTATTCCACTCAGAAGGCTTCCTGCCGGTAAGTTCTGCATGCCTCCAAAGTGTGCTTGAAATTGCTGTAAAGCTTAATCAAAATGCTCTCTAGACATAATTACAGCATGTACCAATTTGCACTTATCTAAGCAGCGCCACAAGAGCTGTATCCCTATGCTGTGGGTAGCACCCAGCTGCTCCCGTCATGTGGATGATAGTGCTCAGAGGCGACACTCAGTCAGGTAGTTCAGAAGCTTAATATCCCTGAAGAGTGTGGCCTTAGTGTTGCCCCCTTATTTTCAGCTGCTAAATCCTATCTGGAGAGAGAAAAACCCACAAAAAGAATGCCTTTGCCTTGCATGGTTTCTCTGTATGACTGCTTTCCCCATAGACCTCTCAGTCTGTTTTTATACTATCTGTGCATTTTATTGCTCCTGTCATAAACTCTCTCTAGAGTATCAATATCTTATTTTTAACATTAATTGTCCTTTTCACAGTAATAGGCTTCATCTAGAGAGTATAATATTGCAACATGTTCTTCAGCCCACGCTGTTTGTCTACAGTGAAATCTAGCAGCTCAGTATTCTCAGTATAAAGCCGCTCAGTGTTTCCTAGTTTACCTGAATGTTCCAGTTTATTTCCCCCAGACAATATTTTTCTTTACATTTCACCAATTGAATTCTGCAACTTTATTTACCTCAAAAACTAAAATTAATTTTAAAAGTTTTTTACAGAAAATGGCCACTTTTTCTTCATGATATGTAGTGCCCTGCTCATTAGGAGCTTTCACTCCTGAACTTCTGTCTTGCAAGCTTGTACTTTCAGATTAATGTGGTCAAAGATGCTATAACTCTTTGCTTTCATTTGCTTTGGAAAATTCAGCTGTAAATCCATTAGATACTATCAGATCTTGTCCCTTGATCTTTATTGATCAGGGATATTAAGGAGGTGTTGCACTGCCAAGATTTAAGGGTTTCCAGACTGATCAGAGAGCAGGAAGCCCAAAAGGCAGAGCCAATATGGTTGTCAGCTTCAGCATGTGGAAGCTTATATCATTCCTTTTGCCATCCAAGACCCTTTCTTGTTTATTTTCACCTTTCCAGTAGGATTTACTTGTTTTTCTCTTTTCTTTGGACAGAGCCAAGAGAGCTCAAAATGGCTTTGCCTCTTTTGGGAAACTGGGTGCATCCGCCCACATTATCTTGATGGGCGTTATACAGCAGTATTTGAATACAGTATTCTTTTAATCTAGAGCTGTGTTTAACAAAATTTTTGATGGGTTTGTCCTCAAAATATTCAAAGTAGAGGTATTTCAAGGAAAAAGGTCCTGGCTGATTTTATATTTTTTTATTTCTTGAACTTTTGTTTTGCTGGAAGGCACTAATCACATAGAAATGTATTCATTAATGATTCAATTACTGTTCTATCATGCAAATATTTATTATTACTCTAATAATTACTGACAGGCAATGTTTCAATGAATTTAGTTAATGTACTCTCCCTTTATATTCTATTCTACAATTACTGTTCCTACCTTCAGTTATTTATTTGAACAGCCTGAACCCTGTCTCAGCACTGGACCTCGCGCAACAACCCTCACATGGTTCCAGTCAAGAATTTCTGATTGTCTGTTCTTAACCCTAAGTATCAGATCGCCTTTGGATTTTTCTTGGCTATTTAAATACTGATGGTCTCATATTTTATCCATGTTTCCTACTAGAGCAGAGTTAATAAGGAAACAAATGATTTATATCAGGCAGCAATCTGCTGTAGTAATCAGGTACTTCTACCAAAGAAAAAAATCTCTCTTTCTGTGGCAAGTAACATATCACGATGAATGCTGGGGGTAGATTGTTATTTTCAAATCCTTTGTGTTCTCATACACATCTAGCATGTACATTGTTTAATTTGGCTCTCATTTCCTGGTAGTGATCTATGTGAGGTTTCAGATGACCTAAAAACTGCAGCAAATACCTGCACAGGGCAAATTCTGACTTTGGCTTTCACTGAGGGCAGTGAATCTCCTTGCTCATTGCACGGCAGCCCTCCAGGACTCGCAGCAGGCGGGCGGAAGGAAGGTTTTGGAGTAGGCTGTTGCATAATATTTAGTTTAGCAGCCTTTGCACATCTGTGATCTGGTCTATCTGCCGCTGCAGTTCTTCCCCTTCCTTATGACAGGCTCCATCAAGGAGGCACAGGTCAAGCCTTTGCAAAGAACTTCTTTCGCTGACTCAATTAGTTGACTGATCAGCATATTTTGATAAATCCATGCTGACCTCTGTTTATCTTGCTATTGTATTAGTGCTATATTATCTTGCTATATGCTAATGCAGCAGAATGCTTTTTAATCTGTTCTACCTGTTTAAGGTAGCTTAAACTAGTGTCCACTAGTTTAAGTGAAGCTTAAACTTCATCCCATCGCCAATATAGCTCTTAACACGAGAACTTCTTCTTTACAGGAATTCAATACTCCTGAATCTCCATTCGATATTCCTCAGAAATAATTTCCTGTGGCTTCAGTGTTTCTGAGAAAACATCTTTGAATTACTTGTGTCCCCTTTGCTTTGTTTTGCCTTCTCTGTTTTAAAGCAATTCTCACATTAATCACACTTTGACTGTTACCTTCTTTAATGAAAACAAAAGCAAAGTAACAATGAAAATTCAGTCCTTTCCACTAGAAAGGAGTTCTCTTCCTTAAATTGTTTCTTTTTGCATTATTGCCAACGTATTCCCCACCCTCTTCCTTCATGTATGCTAATACACGTTTCTCTTGATTCTCTTCCTAATCATTACTGAGCTTACATGCAGTACACAGGGCTTTTCTTTAATAACTCTGCTCTTACAGGAACTTGTTTTATGCCTGAACCAAAACTCCTTACACAGCAGCTGATGGCTGGAGAAAGTAGAGTCACAAGATTATGAACATGTAAACCCCAATTGTTATCCCTGCATGCAAAGGGGGATTAGGAGTTGCATTAGCAGTTGCAGGAATGGCTGTGGAGTACTTATTTTATTCCTCCAAACACAAATAATTCCTACCCTAGCACAAAACTTTTTGATGGATGAGACTGATTTTGTGTTGCATTAGGGTCTATCTGATCCAGTTTACAAAAGGGTTTTTTCTCTGCCTGTGTGTGACCATTTCTTCTCCAGCTTTCTACCACAGAGCTGGAGGCTAATTGTATGTAATCCAGTTGCCCTGGATGATCCATTTGCATCAGTGAGTTTAAAGGACAGCTGTACAAGGAACTTGCTCAGGGATGTGAGTGGTGGACTTTCATTCCGCAGACTTCAGCTCAGTGTCTTGGGTGGCTCTTGCCTTTCAGTGTTGTGCTTCATCCTCTCTTGCCTTCCAACATGAATTGCTCCAGAGCATGTTTTCTCTGCCACCTTCACTGCTGGCACATCTGGCATTCCCTAAACTTATGTTGCTGATCAGGGGCAGCCTCTGTGTTCTCATTGAGCTAACTGCTGCTTTGCTCAGGAAAGCTACCATTTAGAGCAGCTACTTCTCTTCTACCTCCAGCCATTTCTCCCCTGTCCCTAGCCAATTTTTATGGATTCTTCCATGGACTCCCACTTTAACATTGTGGGCCTCTGTGTTTTCTAACCCGGCCTCCAGTAAATTTTGCTTCAGTGACAAGGCAGGAGGGGTGTGATGCTCGGCTTGTCTGATAGGTTTTGCAGGATTCCACTTCTGTATACTGCAGCTGGAAAAGAGATCTTCCTTTTCCCACATTTTTCAAGATTTCTCTTCCTCTTTGTCATATCTCTCTCATGCTGATGTTGCAGCCGAATGAGCATGCTGACATTGTGCTACCTGAGCATGCTTCTTTAAGCATGCTTCCTTTAACCTCCTCTACTTATTTCACCTATTTGCTTTATTCTTCCTAAATACCGCCCCAATTTAATAATGATCCCGTAAGTTTCCTTTGCCACATGAGGACATTCACCGTGCCGGTGTGTTCTCGGACACCAGTAACCAAATCCATGAAAGCAGAGCATATCTCCACACCTCCATCTTCTCACCAACTCTTTCTCAGCTGGAGTCACCTTGAACTCCTTATTTCATCTGCAGAATGACTGGGCTGTTTCCAGATTACAGATTCCCTAAAATATCCCTTTTCTTTTTCAGGTGTGAATCAGGATATACTGGACAGCACTGTGAAAAGACAGACTTTAGTATTCTTTATGTTGTCCCAAGCAGACAAAAGCTTACGCATGTCCTTATTGCAGCAATAATTGGAGCTGTACAGATTGCCATTATAGTTGCAATTGTCATGTGCATAACAAGGTAGGTAAAAACAAAAACAGTGAAAAATTATGCATTGTATGGATATACTTATTCTGTATTGAAATATTTAACACCCATAATTTTATATGCTTTATCTCAAAATATCCACATAAAAAGCACCTGATGACTGAAGCTGTAGGATTATGTAACATCCTATTGCCTTTGCTTTTTTGGTCACAAAAGACACATTGGTTTAGACTCACAAACCATCAGTAACTGCTCTGAATCCCCAGACCAAATGCCCAGCAGAAGAGACCAGCCTTGAAACACATCCAAAAGGTCAGCTACTGCATTAGACCTTCCCTGAACTTACTCAAGCATTGCTGGTATCTCATAGAAGCTATAATCCCTACTCCCGCCCAGTGAAACCAGAGAGGTTGACAAGATGCTGCTCTTTGCAGTACCACTGTAAATGGTGTTACACGGAGGGAGGAGTATCCCTCACACTATATATGCTTTCTGGAAATTAATGCGCATCTAGTCCTGTTATTAGTCACTCTCCATGGGAACCTATTTTATACAATTTAAAGACACACAAGTTTCTAGGTTGTCTCAGAGTCTCACCCTTTATGAAAACTGAGCTGAGAGCCATGGATTCCTTTTGATGACAAGGGGTTCAGCTTGCTCATTAAGGAGTTGAACCCAATGATGTCTGAGGTCTCTGGGATAAATTAAGGTTGACTTTAGTTACCTTATAGGTTCATGAAGTATTTAAGTCCTATGCTTGGGCATCCATGATACATGTGGATATACACATACTTTGACAGCTCCTGCACTTATAAAAGAGTTAGTTACTTGGTCATGCAGTTGATGTCATCCCTTTTTTACTGACCACCCCACTGGCCAAAGCACTGGTGAGAAGGCTGTGGTTCAGCAGCCCTCCTCTTTCAGCCTCCCTACAACTGCTCCCCAGCTCACAGTCTCTCAAGGACAGTCTGTCTTGCTTCACTGCAGTAGGAATGCTCCATTGAGCCTTGCCTGTTGCCTTATGGGTTAAGTCCCATCCCACTCAGAATTGCTGGCTTTTGTGAATCCTTCCTCAGCTGTGTGTCTGTCCCCAAGAAAGGGATCACCTGAGTCACCTTACAGAGAGTCCTGGGTGGGCTCTCTCTCAGGGGTGCCATGAGCAGCAGGACACTTGGAGGTCCAGCACTTCAAAAGGCTGTTTGATCCAATCTTGCCATCCACTGGATTTTAAGTATGAAATATGTATGGAGTAAAGCCAGGGTAATTATTCACTGTGGCATGTGTTTTGCTGGGTCAAGGCTGAAGGACATAGCACCTTGTTGGTTTCAGTCTTAAGCTCAAGCAGAACTCCTTTCTGAGTGATCTAAGGTCCCATGGGTGTCCCCAGGTAACAGTCCAGTACCGAACAGCAGGAGCATCCCTTCATAAACACAGCTCAGAGACTCCTTGCTATTGTTCTGTACAGAAGTTTAAGTCAATGTGTTATTTCTAGGCTTAATTTTATGTGGCATATGTAAAACCAGTCCTCCTTTTTCTTTATTTTTTTTTTAACAGAAAATGCCCCAAAAACAATAGAGGACGTCGGCAGAAGCAAAACCTAGGCCATTTTACTTCAGATACATCATCCAGAATGGTTTAACTTAGTGATTTTTATACCTACATTGACCATGTGATGTACATTTTTATTATATCTTTTTTTAAAGAATGGAAATATTTATTTCAGAGGCCTTATTTTTGAACATTTTTAGTGTAACAATGTTGGTCTGTATTCTGAAAGCAACAGCTCTAACAGCTATGGACTGTTTTAGTATCTTTACTTTTATGTTTTTGAATACAGTAGTCCATTTTCTGTATCTGTATCACATGGTTATATAATAGACTTGTGCTTTATCCATGGAATGTAATATTTTTGGGAACACAGATTTATTCCATCAATGGTTGTAGATTTAAAAACAAACAGGCAACAAACAATAAACCAACAAAAAAGTCCACGTTACCTAGCAAACAAGGCATGAACAAAAGGTAAAAATGTTTACAGCTTACTTTTCTTATGAGAAACTAGAAAACACTGTGTTTAAATACCGTAGATATTTAAATGTTTTTGGAAGTTAGTAACTGATTTTTTAGACACTGCCTATCGCATGAACTGTGAAGCTGTGTGCTGTGTGTAGTTGTAACATATTTATAAGACGTGTGGGCTGGGTCTAAGCACTGCCATCTTCATACTGAATTCCAACAATTTATTTTTAAAGAGGAAAACTATAAATTTCATAATTTGGGAAGTTACCTGGTAGAGCAGATGGCACAGGTCCAAAAGTAGGTCTGAGTAGATGTAGGTATTGTAAAAATTGGTGTTGAATAATTGAACACAAATAATTGGAATAAAGCCTACTTTATCACTGTTAAAGCTGTTTTAATACTTCTTAAACTTTTTTAAAGCAAATACATGTTTTAACACCTACAATACTGATTGTATAGTGTTTGTGATTAAAATACAAAAAAAAAAATAAAAGTGAATGAATTACTAGTGCTCTTGTATAGAGTATTTTCAAGAGCTAAAGAAGTCCATCCAAATTAGTCTGCTGGTCATAGTTATATTAATAGATCGTTAGTTGTCGTTTGAAAGATCCCGAGCTAAAGTGTGAATAGGATGTGTTCAGCTGTTTTAACATGTAGTTTAGGCTTTCAAAATTTTGCATGTAGGATTTAATAATTTGTTCAGTTAAAAAAAAGAAAAAAAAGAAAGAAATGCTTTCAACATTTTGAACTGGAAAAGCATGTCACACAATACAACGTTTTCACTATGTTGCCTCTGGTTTAGTGTGTTTATTTGTTAACCCCCATGTGGCAATTGCAGCAAGCTGAAGACCTGAAGTTGTTTTGCTGGGAAAAACAACGGTGTTCATTTTTCAGACCCCTCTTTGAGTTCTCTCAGAGGAAAGCACTCCAGTAACACGAAAGCAGAAGTAGATCGCTAAAAATATGCAAGTTTGCTTTCCTGCTTAATTACTAAGTTACTTAACTTTCCTGGATTAACGCTAATAACTTCATCAGTACAGAAGCGTGACCCTTTAAACATATGTTCCTTTCCAGACACTGCTTCCTAATTTTAGGGGTTTCATGTTGCTGAAAGTATCTGAACAATCATGTGTGGATATTTTGTAGTCAGAAGTATTTGACCAAGCTCCAGGAGCAGCGTTTCACACCCTACTTTGAGTATCGCCAGAGCCAGCTGTCACCCTGGCTCCCTGCAGCAGTGCCAGAACTGTTCTGGCAGGATCACCCAAACTTTGCCTCCTGCCGACCTGGCTGAAGGCAGGCAAAATGGATCGCCGCGAAATCACCTCCGAGCCTGACAAAACCCACCAAAATCGCCTCTCCAGTATCACCGAGGAGGAAGGAGAACAAGATGCAGCTTACACGATTGTGACGGTCCTGGACAAAGTGGCCAACATCGTGGACAGCGTGCAGGCGAGCCAGAAAAGGATAGAGGAGAGGCACAGGGAGATGGAAAACACCATCAAGACCATACAGATTGACATCTTAAAGCTTGCCCAGGCTCACGGCAACACAGGCTACACAGTGAACAAGTTACTGGAGAAAACCCGCAAAGTCAGCTCCGTCATGAAGGAGGTGCGGGCACGCGTGGAGAGGCAGAGCACCAACGTGCGGAAGGTGGAAGCAAAACAAGAGGAGATGCTGAAAAAAAACAAATTCCGGGTCGTAATCTACCAGGTAAAAGCAAACCTCATTTCTTGTAGCACTGTTGTTGTCCTGCCGCCTTGGTGGCTGGTGTAGGGCACTGATTAATGAACAAAATGACACAGGCTGTCCAACATGAGAGATATTTTATGCTTTCTTTAACATTCACTTGTGCTCCTCGGTGTCTTTTAGCATGAGCCCACTGACAGCAGCATACACGGTCTATTATTAGTGTTGGTGGGTTACTGAGCCAGTAGTGTAAGATTAACTGCAGATCAGCAAGGACTATTTGTTGCCTCTCCGAAGGGTAATATGAGGCAGGCTCTATAAATCTTGTCATACAAACCATGCCTGACATTCATCGGTGTTGTTTTTTCACCATATTAGGTCGAAGTCCAAATAGCAGAAGTGTTTTTGGGCTCCCTGAAACGCAGACTTTCTTCTGACGCTCACTTCAAAACATAAGGCTTGTTTACCTTGCAGCATTGCTCAGGCTTTCATAGTGCTGACAGATTGGGGCTTTTTCATTGTCTCAGTCTATATGCACAACCTATATGCACAAACTAAAGCTCAGACTCAAAAACCCTTCATGACAGCTGATAGCCCCTTGCATGCTCTACTTTGGAAATGGGCAAGCAAATCATACTTTTTCTTTCACTGACCTCATTGTAGGATGCTCCTTATTCTTATAAATGTGTTTGAAGAGAAGTTCCATGAAACAGCATGGTCTCGCTTACATGAGTAAGAATGGACAGTGCAGGCAGTTCATGGGTTCTGTCAGTTGCTAGTGAGAGCTGTGAAACCTGTTTGTTTAGTGGCCTGATCCCGCATTTGCTGCAACTTCGCAGTGCCCCAAGTCAGTAGAAAGTAAGGGTCTTTAATCTTTTGCTCCCTCATACCCCCGAGTCCCCAAAGCTTTTTTCAAATGAGTCATATTCGCCATTATGTGTTCCTGAAAATACCATCCCTCGTGAGTAACAAAACGCGCCCCCATCGCCCAGCCTTACACCCTGATCTTGCATCTGTTTGTTTGTACATAAATAACATTGCTTGCGATGAATGGGGCCATGTGTTTCAGTGGATATACTCACCACTGTATACAGCTGACAAATTCTTCTGCATAATCTAACTTTCCAAACTACTTCATTTGCTACAACTGGGAAAAAATAGCTAAACCAAGAAAAAAAGTAGGTAGGAAATTTTACCTTTTTAATGTCATGGTCATAACTCCTGTGGTTAATATGCAGCCAAATTGTACCTCCTGCATGACATACTGTGGATGTTCAGGAGAAAGCCTGGGCATAATTTGGCCTATTACCATTACAATTATTGCAAGCTGCACCATCATGATGGAATAGAAAACAGGCACACTCACTTTTTCCATGAAAATCATTTCCCAGCAAAAGGAAATAAATATCTCAGACTCCCCTGGTTAATGGCACAATGCCATTTCATTGATGGGCCTTTGCCATTAGATTGCAGTAGAAAATAGTTGAAGCTTTGAAAATGCTTGTTCTTGAAACAGTATTTGTTACATAATGTACATTTTTCTCCTAGCAAGACATGAGTAGTTGCTTATTTAAAAATGCAGTAAAATACGGTGAAAATGAAATTACATGGAGCTATAAAGAACAGCTGTTGGTATTTTCAGATGTTTCATGCAAAGGGTGCGCACTTTCTCTAAAAATCACCTTCAGTTGGAGTTTCTGAACTCTCTACTGGCTTTGCCAGACAAGAATGACCTGCACCCCACTCTGTATGTTTAATACTTCTAGGAAGGAAAACAGCATTTTTGATTGCTGTCTTCTAGCTTACTCTTCCTATGGTAGTTGAGAACTGCCAGTGAGAATATGGATGACTTCCTCTTTAACTTCCATCCCTTTATAAAGGGAGATTGAAGAATCTTTTCCCTCTCTTGCACGGTGGTGGAGCAGGTATGCTGATCCTCCCAGGATCTGTCATTTAACACTTTTCTGGAGTAGGATAACTGCATTGCTCCACAAAAACACTCTGGAAGCATGCTCTGGAACATGCTAGGGAGTCAAGAGTGCACTGAAGCTTTAAGGCACAGGTACAGTTGTGAAAGTCTCTTGCACAAAAGTGGAGTGATTTTCATACTGTCGATTTACACCAGTGTAGGCTGGAATGCCAAGACCTGAACGACTGAAGCTTGGTTGCAAAGAGTCTGTTAATAGCTACAGAATCAGCATACTCCCTTCACTGTATTTTAGAAATGGGTAGAATCAGGTTCTTTACTTGATGGTTGCGAGTGACAGCTCATCTGTAGTGACATTTTTTTCTAATGAATCATTTGGGACATTGTGATGGAGCCAATGACCTGTGCGTAGCTGGTGTTGAATGCCTACGTGGGTAAGCACACACTGGGTTTAGTTTTAACTTTTACCAAAACATCGGCATATCAGGAAAAAGGAAACACCAATTAAATCCTAAAGATTTCCTTTCAAGTGGATAGCTTTGATGTTATTGATAAAAAGAGAAGGCAGGCTGAAAAGAATCACTGGCTGGAGGAGATTGTCCCAAGAGACCTCAGCAATGATGAAAAGAATTAGCAATATCCTCCCATTAAAAAGAGACAAAGTGACCATCCTTGAGCATAATGATTAGGGAAGGTGAATTCTTTTTTCAAAGGCCGTGTGGTCAAGGAAAAGATCTGGTAGCAGGCAGCCCTCCTCCCCAGGCTGACTGCATGATTAAAAACGCCAGGTTACTTCAGACTTCCTAGTGAGGTCTTAGACCCTGGAGTGCTGTGTGACCTGAGACTACAGCAGGGAATGCAAAAGACATTATAAACTGGAACAGGTCAGTGTTCACTTCTCTTCGGGTTGGTCTGAATAACCAGCTGCGAGAGCTATCATTTCTCTGCAGTCAAAGATCATCTAACAGTTCTACTTTTTCTGACTAAATTATTCAGAAATCAAAGGGGATTTTCCTTTTTTTTTCTTTTTTTTTTTTTTTAACCCTGAAAGAACTTGATTTGCTTTCCTGCATTTTTTGCAAGTCTCTCTATGAATGGGAGCATACGGGCGCCACAAAGCCCTTGTTACAGTTACTGTTCTCTTTTCTATTATTACTTTATAAAAGCACCATCAACAAGTAACAACTTCCTATGCAGGGACACATGCATTTGTTCCCATCACTGTTGTCTGACATATAAAATTAGTGGACAGTCCCAGTGGACATGTCAGAAACCAGGCAGGGTTATGGCTTGGCTGGTTTACACAGTCATGTTACAGCCGATTAGTTTGCCCTGTGATTGCTCCACTGCACACATGGGAGAAGCTAGCAGAAGCAAACTTGTGTATGCTGTTCATATTATGCATAAATAAAGTTGGAAGTGGCTTTTCCTGGTCACTGTCCCTCTGCAGCATAATGCCTCGGCCAGTAGAAATGGTGACATCAAGGTGGGAACAACAATCTGTCAATCTGAAGTGGAAGCTCTTCCATCCAAAGTGTCAGTAAAAGTCACTGTGGCATGAGCTCAAGAAATGGGGATGCTGAAAGACCAGGCTCACAAGGTCACTCCCCATCTGCATGAACCTGTAATTACAGCTATTCTGGCACAAACCTGTGAGAGTAACCGTGACATGAAAGGCAGGAAATACAACACTTCTATTTAGAAAAAACACAAAGAAAGCCATCTGAACCATAGCCATTCATCTGATACCATTTGGGCATAAGAATAGCAGGCTCAGAAGGCCTCCACAGAACAGAACTGTTAGTACATGGAGTTAAATAGCTCACCAAGAGCAGGCTGTGCTGGTGAAGTCACATTTGCTGTTTCACAGAAACATGACAGGTCTTACCCTTTCTCATATTTATGTACCTGATATCTTCATCTCATGACAGATAATCTGGAAAAACAACAGAGGAATGTGGATTGTATTGAAATGGGAAGTGAGGCTTGTGATGGGTTTTTAAAAGTGCTTCCTCCTAAGACCATCTTTGTCAACTGTATCGTATTTTCATTAAAGATATTGGCACAGAAAAGGTGTAGATACTAACAAAATACATTCAAAATGAGGAATT